CTTGCTTCATTACTATTCAAATACAGTATAGCCCTTATTGATTGCATTCCACACCCTTTCTCTGGGGTTGTCAGTCATTAGCCTTAGTGGACGTACAGATAGACAGGAGATAAGAAGGTATGCCAAAAATGTTAATTAGAACAAGCACAGCCTGACAAAACTGCTTCTGGAGAGCACCAAATGTTGCAACAGTATCGAAGGACGTAATTTTGATAAACTGAACAAAGATCTGGCAAAATGTACATTAGAAACACACTTTTTCTTCATGATGTGTTAAACACAAAGGGCCGCGGGGGACCATTAAAGACAAACTACGTTGTTTGATAATAGACCCGAGCATAAAATACACCTAAATGTGTCAGCATCTCCGCTACTTATCATCGCATGTATAATGAGCACTGTGGCTCATATTACAACCACATCGATAACATTTTTACGGCGTCATTGCCACAGCCTCTGGGACAGACGCTGGCCCATTTAATAAGGTTTATAATTATATATGCCTTCCTACGCCCTTTCATCAGTCTCTAAATTGGCACTAAAAGGGTTTCGAGTTGACCTATTTACTCATTGTACTCTTCATCTGGTTAAAACAGTGACATTGTGGTGGCACACAACCATACACCCACAAACGTGCACCCACGTGTCATGGATTTCAAGGCGTCTATTATGTGCGTGGTACAGAGGCCAAGAATGAGGAGGTTAGAGATAGAGGAAAATGTTTTTTCAGCATTCAAATAAGCTCATTTAGAACACATAAGCCATTGCTTAGGGAGAGAAAATAATTAGGGCATAAAGAATTTCTGTGTGTGTGGGTCTATGTGTGTGGCCTTGGAGTGCATCTGTATCCCAGGGTCATGTGGTCAGATGTATGGTCACGGTCTCCAGGTCTGGGTCCCGAGGTCTCAGTGTAAGACTGATGAGGAGGATATTTCATCTCCAACTCCCCCAGGCGCCTGTGTTTGTGTACATCCGTGGAAGTGTGTGTGTGTATGTGCGTGTGTTTTGAACTCCACTGAGCAGGTGGTGAGATACCATCCTAATACGGTGGCAAGGCAGATGGCAGACCACGCCACCTGCATCCCCTTTAGACCTCCAGGACAGTCCCTCATATCCACACACACACACACACACACACACACACACACACACACACACACACACACACACACACACACACACACACACACACACACACACACACACACACACACACAAATCTGCCTAGTTCCAGCACATATGGGAGATTAAATGCTTTCCCTATGATGTGGAAAGACTTGGAATAAGCAAAACAGGGTGTGCCATTAATGATTAAATACAAAATAAAGTGTGTTTATAAGTTTTATTTGGGAATTAGTCATTTTGCACTCACTATCTTCACTGGAGAGATTGTGAAGGTTTTTAGTCAGACTGGTTGCTCTTTAAATAGATCCCTATTGAGTAGCTTAGGAAGATACTTAGTTTTTTCTTTAGTTTGAACTCAGAGATCATTTATAAAAATAAATGTTTTTTGTAAAATGTTAGCTTGGTCACATTTATTTCTACTCTATTAATCACAAACAGAAATCCAGTAGGTGAAATGCACTTTCCGTGACCGCTTCATCTTAGTACCATAATGGAAAATAATTTGGTAATCTTCTCAGTTACAGAACTACTCCCTCTGCACCTATTTATCCTAAGTGCATTACATCTCCTTTTTTACATTCAAGGGCCTCTAGTCCACTCTTTATGATCTGAAAACTGGGATATCTTAGAATATTGGTCAAGCCTGGGATGTTTCCAGCCATGTGAATTCATTTAGGGCCTTTATAATGTTTGTTCAATTACAGCCGTTATTTGGATAAGTGCATGGGACAGTATTTCCTTTGTTTCTTTCAAAGGTTAAAGGAAATGTATTGCCTATTTGTATAGTGTAGTCCCCACATTGACTGCCATTTGATTATGATTGTCTAATCAGGTTTTGAAGAAACAAAGGCAGTGCACAGTGTGTGGTTCATTGTAGTTCACCTCATTTCCCTTGTTTTTAATTTCCGAACGCTCACTGAGAAATCTACAGTCATTGTCCGTTACCACATTCACTGTATGAGCTCATTGTTTGAAGCAGTGTATATTTATTTTCACCACAGAACTCCTACATTTCCACACATTCTTGGCCATTTTCACTACATTGGGACACAATAATTATTCATCAACTAAATCAAAGTAGATTTCCATAATGAATTGCCAATACTATTTGTTTACATCTGGTATCATCGAGCTAAATAAAAGCCTCCCTTCAGATCAGTCTGACCTTTGAAAGCACTTGGCACTGCTCTGAGCAAGAGTTTTTTCTGAAGCAATATGTTCTGTAATTATGCTCATATGCCTCAATGTTAATTTACTGGCTCCTCTGATCAATTTCCTTTCACAGTTCCATGTGTTTTTCTATTTAATACGTTTGTGCTTCTGAGGTAGCATCTGACGGAGTTTGTCTTTGGTTGGCAATGATATTTTGTCAGTTTATCTTGTTCGTCCAGACTGAACTATCTCAGGCCAAACTTCCTTAAAATGTCACAATCATGGTCCATAGAGGATAAAGCAAGATGTCTGTGTAATACATTCACACAGATAAATGCCCAATTTGTATGGGTTTGGTGACTTTAAATGTGCTTCCATCAACAGCATCAGGTCAAAATGTTATACTTTACATAAGCACATACCTACGGAACATCTGAGTTTCTAAAGTTATCAAGCTAAATACAAATACATCTTTAAATCTACCTGCATAGATGTCTGCATTGTCATTGTGAGCATTTCCACAAATATCTATTTTGATCAAGAAAAAAAACATGGTTTAGGTTCTAATAAGTACTTTAATCCATGAAGTTATCCTGGGAGCTTGTCATTTTTTAGAGTGGACGTACTGTTTAGCATGTGAGACTGCAGATAAACCTTCTTAACATATGTGCAAGTCATCGTAGCTAACTTTACGCTAGGTTGTTTAGCAGAAAGGATTTAGCATTTCCTGACTACACCTAAAAGGTAAGGTGGCGTACAAATGGAGGTATTGTGCCATTATAATTATTTGTATCATATTTTGGAGGAGGACTCCCAGAACCAATCACCTATTGTGTATCCTTCCAAGTATTTTTGCCCTTGCATGCGCACCCTCACATCGATGTGCCTATAACAGCTGAATGCGGCAGAGGTGGGAGTAAGTCCTACATGTACAAGTCTCAAGTCACTGTGGTGAGAGTCAAGCAAGTCAAGTCATTGCTCAGGTAAAGCAAGTCAAGTCAAGTCATACACAATTCTGATGAATAAGCCCAGTTTCCACATTTAAAATCAGTTAAAAGACAGTGGTTATGAAAATGGATTCAACCCACACTATGATCTTCATTACATACACAGTTAATCATTTGAAATCTAATTTAGACCGGTGACAATCATGTTAGATTCATATTAACCCCAGAACTGCAGACAATAGAGCTAGGACTCAAAAAGTCTGTTCAAAAAGGCAGAATTCCAGGTAAGAAAATCATGGCATTTGCCATTACACATATTTAATTTAAATTTCTGTTAACACTAGAACCGCCAACAGCGTCAGCACCTACATAGATATCATTTTCAAATCATTTAATTTGTTCCTCTTCATAATTTCCTTATAAACTAAGTAGGACGATTTAAAACTCAGTTAATTGGGTTGATTTTGAAATTGCTTCAGTTTATCATCGTAACAGATCAAAAAGTTCAGATTCATTTAACAATAAATCAAGGAATGATGCACTTCTACAAACAAAAATATAATTAAAACATTTAAACAAATTACTAAAAGTAGATGACCTACATTATTCAACAGTTTCTCTCTCTCTCTCTCTCTCTCTCTCTCTCTCTCTCTCTCTCTCTCTCTCTCTCTCTCTCTCTCTGCATACCGCTCTTCTCTTCTTATTACCGTCATCGACAAAATAATCCTTGAATCCAAACTTGACTATTTTTGGAGTAAAGCTAGCCTC